CCCGCGGCGCCCGCCCCGGCCCCCCAGCCGCCCGCGGTGCCGGCGGGCCTGGGATCCGGGCTCGCCCCGCTGCTGGCGGAGCCGTGCGGCAGCCCCGACTACAGAAATACGGATCGTCTCAGGCAGTTGGGCTGGAGGTTTTCATCCCCCTCCTTCTTTTTCTCCTTTCGCTGTGGTAGGATAGGGGAGGGTTTCTTTTTTTCTTTTTTTTCCTTCTTTTTTTCCTCTCTCTTTTTTAAGTCGGTATTTAGAGGCGCTGCGGGCTTTATCCCTGTGTGGTTTTATTTACTTTCAGTGTATTTTGTGCTAATGGTTTAACTGGATTTTAGGAATGAAAAGGAGCATCTGTTTGCGATCTGTGAGCTACGCTTAAGCCCAAGATGGTTGTGGTGGCCGCAGTTTCGAATTTCACTTTCTTCTTATTAGTTAAAAGGAACATTTGCAATTGCGTGTGTGTGCATTCTATGCATAAACTATATAAATAAAACCATAAAGTATACAAATAAACTGCAAGTCTAGATGATTATATAGTTTTATACACATACACACACAGTCAGACACATATCTAGTCCCATACACACAAAGACCTGCACCCGGAATTTAAGATCGGAGCCGCTGTCGAGATCTTAGGAAGGGAGGGCAGCAGGGTAGTTCGCTCTCCCTGCAAAGTGACAGGGAAACTACTTGCTTTCTGTTTGTAAAATACGGTGCATACATTGTCGTGCAGTCTTTATTTGGGGTGGTATAAAGGATCTGAGGATCTCCCTCGCTTGTTTTTCCTGTTGAGAAGCTATAGGCGAGTGGCTGGAAGTTGCAGTGAGGTTGTGAACTATCTCGAATATTAGGAGAATTCGTGCCTGTGACTCGCCATTCTGTAGGATTCTGAAACGTGCTAAAAGTTAGCGAGTTCCTTAGCAATATCTTTAACTTTTCTTCCATTATGCAGACTTAAATAAGCGCAATTTAAACGTTAAAGGGCGAATTAAAATGCTAATTACATCGCATTTGAACAATTCGAAACGGTGCATATCTTCTGATTTGCAAATTGGATTTGCAATGCATTAGTGCAGTGAATTGCTAAGTGGCGGCTTTGTTGTATTTTCTATAGCGAAAAAGGAAACATCTTTTGAACCTTTGAGAGAAATGCAGATATCAAGACACTACCTGTAGGGCCTTGAAAATGTCTGCGTGATTCAAAAATGATATTGGAAAATACTCAATTACAAAGAACTAAAATTAGTCAGAAAGATTAAAACATCGACGACTATAAGTGTATGTGCGTGTAAGTGTGTTGGGCGGAGGAAGGGGGGGGGATCACAACTTAATGGCCTTTGGGTGCTGTTCCCCCCCCCTCATAGAATATGGATACAAGACACCATCCCAGGGAAATACAAATATAACCAGCGATCTCGCCTTGACAACTTACTAATGGCTATCAGCAATAACAAATTGCCAACCCCGCCGCTTTGTTCTGTCCAGGGCTCCCCTTCCGACGGCGGGGGAGGCCCGGACCCATCAGCTCCCCCCCGTACGGCAGCCCTGCCTACCCCTACCAGCTCAACGACCCCGCGTACAGGAAAAACGCCACCCGCGACGCCACGGCCACGCTCAAGGCCTGGCTGCAGGAGCACCGCAAGAACCCCTACCCCACCAAGGGCGAGAAGATCATGCTGGCCATCATCACCAAGATGACCCTCACCCAGGTCTCCACCTGGTTCGCCAACGCCCGCCGGCGCCTCAAGAAGGAGAACAAGATGACCTGGGCCCCGCGGAACAAGAGCGAGGACGAGGACGACGACGAAGGCGACGGGGCGAGGAGTAAAGAGGAAAGCCCGGGGAAGATGCCTGAGAGCAACGAAACCTCCGCCGAGGACGAAGGTGGGCTCGGGGTGCGGGGTCGCCCCATCCCGTCCCGTCGGGTGCCCCGCGGCCGCCCCC